TACCCTTGGTGGAGTTTGCCTATAACAACTCCTACCATAGCAGTTTGCAGGCTGCACCATTTGAAGCTTTGTATGGAAGGAAGTGTCGTACCCCGCTATGTTGGGATGTTGAGGGTACTCGGGTTCTTACTGGACCACAAATGGTCCAGGATACGGAGGAGAAGGTGAAGGTGATCAAAGAGAGATTGCGAGTAGCTCAAGATCGCCAGAAGTTATATGCCGATAGGAAGGCTCGAGAAGTTAGCTATGATGTGGGAGATAAGGTGTTCTTAAAGGTATCCCCATGGAAGGGATTGATGAGGTTTGGAAGGAAGGGTAAGCTAGCGCCTCGTTACATTGGTCCTTACGATGTTATCTCCAAAGTAGGACCTGTGGCATATGAGCTTGCATTACCCCGTGAGTTGGAGAAAATTCACAACGTATTCCACGTGAGTATGTTGAAAAAGTATCATATCGATCCATCTCATGTGATGCAACCCGAAAGGGTGGAGTTGGAGCCAGATTTGACCTATGAAGAAAAACCGGTGAGCATTGTGGATCATCAGGTACGTGTGTTAAGAAGCAAGCAAATCCCAATGCTCAAGGTTATATGGCGTAATCAGGAGGAGGAGGCTGCAACCTGGGAAACCGAGGAGAGTATGGAGAAGAAGTACCCCGAGCTAGTTGAGGCTTATGCTCAACGTATGTCGACCTAGTACCTCATGTGTTAGATCGATATGAGCAGGGTACATTGTAATATATAACCTCTACTATAGAGTGAGTGAATAAGTATGAAATAAAATAATAAAAAAAAAATTCCCAAGCCATTAGGTACTTAATGGCCAAGGGAAATTATCATGTCGTCGTGCTGAGTTAATTGATGTTTTGGACGAGCCGATTTCGGGGACGAAATCTAATTAAGAGGGGGAGAATTGTAACATCCCGAACCTCGGATAAATTCTTTTTCCAAGTGGCGGACGCATATAGTACGATTCGAGGCTGGAAAAAAAAAAGATTTAGTTATTATCCTATACGAGAAAGGATCCGTGAAACCACTCAGAAACTCATAAACCACTAAAAACCGAAGCAAAAATAAATTGGCAGGTTGCTAGACCTTGTACCAGCTAAGAAAGCAGCTAGCAAATTAACCAGTTGCACTACAGAATAGCTTGTGATATATTAGCGCCGCTTCATTTAAAACTTGATGACATAGGCATTGCAGCAGCAGCTAGCTTGTTTATGGAGCCGGCTTTGGAACTTGAGTTTCTTCCTTTCAAAGCTACTGCTCCTTAGAAGGCCGACCCAGGCCTTTACTCCATCAGTTGGACAGTAAATGAAGAAGTAGAAGAGTGGACAAAGAGCTCTATATCAAGGGGAAGCTAGCTCTCCATTGCTACCTCCGTACAAACACCAAGAAGAGAAAAGAAAGGAAGGAAAGGATAGTTGACAAACGCCTATCATCACCTCTGTATGCCCAGCAAAAGTTTAGAACCCACACAAATCCCATTACGAAGCCAAAATCGTCAAACCAACTAAACGGAAATTCTTCGCCGAAACTTTTGCCGTAACCCTTTTCGTCAGCCAAACCAGCACCATTAAAGGTAGTATCAGCTACGAAGCTTGATATCGTTGCGAAGAGCAAGTCTCCACAAGCATCACAGAGTTTACGGAATTGAATTCCAAGCTCAGACGAGGGAGAAACAAGGCCGGGAAGTTGGTACACGAGGTAGGAAAATTTCCAGTTTTCTGCAGATTTTGGGACATGCAGAAAATTAACAATTAATCCGTAATTTCGTACTAACGATGATCAGCTCGCAGTTTCTTCGTTTGACGTCCAAACGACGAACCGTTCTCGCCTACAGGACCGTAGAAACAAGGAGAATTTTTAGGAGCCAATCTCTGGAATTTTAGAACTTAATTCCCGACTTGGAATCGGCTAAATTAAGGTGTGTGGGGATTAAGAGGACCTTAATTATTGCATCGATTATTTATGCTTGATTTGCATATTTGGATGGATGGATTACTGTGGGTGATGACTTATTTGTTGATATGATGATTTGGTGATTATTCTTGATTGTTATGGATTTTACGGTGTAAATATCGATATTTGACAAGTTTCCCCGTAAAAATGAATAGTTGGGTTTATTGAGTCTAAAACTGATCTAAGAGATTTTTGTTTGTCTAAAAGGCGGTTGGGGCAGGTTGAGCAAAATATTTCACTTGAAAATGGTTTTCGGATTAAAAACTGCATAACGGTGAATTTTACGAAAAGCTCGGTAAAAACGTGTTTTATTTATCTTTAAGATTTGGATCACTTCAAAATGGTCAGTATGGATTATTAAATGGTTTTTGGTCTGAAAAGGGTAAATTAGACAGTTGGTGGAGTTTTTATCTTTAAAATGGTAAAAATGAGCTTAATACGAGATTTGCGATAAATACCGAGTGTAATATTATTTTCACGGTTTTGAGCCGTTGAAAAATATAAAAACTGGACAGACCTGTTTTATGATGATAAATGGAGGTTCTTTTATTTTTGGGAGATTTTTGGATTTACCGTTTTGTTGGAATTTAATTTATCGTAAAATAATGGTTAATACGAGATTTTTGATATTTTATTTTCTAAATTGATTTTTATGAACAGAACTAGATTAAATGGATTTTTGTGTCAATAAATTCAGTTACATGAATTTTGTGAGGATTTTAATGAAGGAAAGTGAATTTTGAGTTAAGGATATTTTTAACCGCAATCGGGTTATTTATAATTATTTGCGTTGGCGCTATTTCGTGAAATTGTTGATAAATTTTGGATGAGGAATGGTGACATTGTACTGCTGAGTAGCTTTACTGGAGAATGAAATGATTTATGTGATTCGGTATTGGATGATGAAATAGTTGATTTTTTTTTTGAAACGTCGAGTTGATAATCGACGGGAAATATATATATGGATTGGTCAATCCGTGAGACTACATTGATTCCGGATTGATTGTGATGAATGAGAAAAATGGAAATAGTTTGATTCGTGATCATATTAATTCACGTAGACATAGAAAGGGCCTGCACTTACCCTCACCCCTTGAGAGTGGGTAGATTTAGCTCGCTTATGCGATTGAGTGTTGTGGTTGCATGAGCACCACGGATGAGTGTTGTGGTTAAAAACCACAGATTGAGTGTTGTGGTTGCATGAGCACCACGGATGATGATTTGCTCGAGCGAGGGTGAGTGTATGGTGACCTTGGCGCCATTAATAATTAACCAGAATTTTCATATCATGCATTGATTATGTGTTCGTGAAATTAAGTGATTATCTTATTGGATAAATTGATTTGGTGATGATTAGTTGGTGGATTCGATAATTTGATTGGTAATTTATATACGATGATTTAAGATGGCATCTAGAGTAATAATTTATGATTGATTATGATTGTTTGATTAGCTGATTGCGATCCCAAAATTAGGTCGTGGGAAAGATCCACACACACAGCTTAGTTGCTGACCCACGTCTGTTTTCAGGCTCGCAGGTGCAACTAGGATCGGACTACTGAGGCTGCCCTATCCTTCTGTACTACCATCATGAGGTAGTTTGGAACACTGTTCTGTCATGGTCACCTAGGACTTTTGCTTTGAGTGTTTGAATAATAAACCCACATTTTGTAAAAATTCAATAAGTGGGTTGGGATTCGAATAATGAGTTTGTATGATAACGGTTTATGTTTGTGTTTAATTATCGGATATGATGTTTGAGATGATTGAGTTCTACCAGTAACACCGATGATTTGGCTGCGCGGTTGAACCACGAGTTCAACCATAGAGATTATGGGTGGGGTGTTACAAGTGGTATCAGAGCTCGGTTAGTTCGCTGCACTATAAGTATGTTACCTTAACTCGTGAGGATTAGCTACCCTCAGTCGGGTGAAGGTACTCCATACTCGTATTTGCACTGAGACTTTCCGGGTAATGGGATCAATTGTGACAAAAATATTTTGAAATTGATTTTTAAAATTTTTGAGGGATTGAGAAACGATCTTTGGAAGGAGTTTTTGTGGAAGAAAACTAAAGTTTGATTTCTTTTTCTTTCTTTGTTGTGACCGGAACAGTGTGGGCCCTCGTAATGTTCAGTTAGCACCTCTACCACCACCCATCAGGGTGGAGTTTCCCCAACTTAAGAAATATGGACTGAAGGAGTTTCGAGGGGATAGTGACGATCCCCAAGAAACGGCAATTTGGTTGAAGGAGTCGCGCATTCAGTTCGATTACATGGGATATGATGAGGAGCAGAGGCTCCAAGCAATGGTTATGCTTCTTAAAGGCCATGCCTTGACCTGGTGGGGCTCTCAGGAGGAGGGGCAGGTCTATCCTACGCTTCTGACGTACCATGATTTTATGGCTATGTTTCGGGCGACTTTCTTTCCACCGGAGTGGATATATAAGAAACAGCGGGAGTTCGATGAACTTAAGCAGGGGGAGATGTCTGTATTGTCTTACTACATCAAATTCTTCGAGCTATCGGAGTGGTGTGAGATTGAGACAGATCGAGACGAGAAGTTGGCCATGAGGTTCCTTCGCGGTCTCCGATACACCATCCAGGAGGGAGTCTCCTCAGCTGATATGGTAAGCCTGAATGCCATTAAGCAGGCTGCCCTGAGGAAAGAGAACCTGGAGAAGGCAAAGAAGGAGTCTTGGAAGGAGAGGCCAGGTGATAGGAAGAGGAAGGCTTTTGTCCAACCGAGTCACTCGGCCGGTTTCACCCAGCATACCCGAAGGGGAGGGCAATACGATCCCAGGCCGAGGGTGACATATTCAGCTCCACCGACCAGGACGGGACCCGCTGGGTATCCACCATGCCCGACCTGCGGGAAGATGCACTTTGGGCGATGTAATAACTTGCCTCAAGGTAGGATCATCTGCTTTGAGTGTGGCCAGGCTGGTCATACCCGACCACAGTGCCCACAACTCGCCCGAGCACCAGCACCATCAGTGGGATCTGTTCAGGGCCCAAGAACCCCATCGGCGGGAGTTTCTAGGGGAGCATCAAGGCAGGGAGGACGTCCTAGATCTCGAGGACCTGGAGCTAACTCCTATCCAGGGGTTGGACCGAGTCAGCAACCCATGGGACGGGGAGCGGGAAGCCAGAATCAGGCGGGACTACGCGCTTTGACTAGAGATGCAGCGGAGGCCGCTACTGATGTTGTCACTGGTATGATAACTTGCTTTGGACATGCTCTATATGCCTTGTTTGACACTGGCTCTTCGCATTCCTTTATGTCCGAGAAATGTGCTAGTAACATGCATATCATATCAACCGAGCTGACTACCCGATGGGGTGTGAAAACACCATTGGGTACTTCGGTGGTAGTTAATCGCGTGATACGCGATTGTGATGTTGTGATGGGAGGAGTAGCATTGAAGGCAGAGCTGATGATTTTGCCTTTCAATGAGTTCGATGTGATTCTTGGCATGGATTGGTTATCCAGTCACGGCGCAGTGATGGATTGCCAAAAGAAGGAAATACGCTTGTCTGGGGATGATGGTAAACATATGATATTCCAAGGGTTGAGAAGACAGAAGTCAACTCCGATGGGTATCATCTCGGCGATGGAGATGTATGCGTTGCTAAGGGAAGGGTGTCAAGCCTTTCTTGTGCAAGTTGAGGTGACTAAAGAAGAGAAGTTGGAGGAAGTACGAGTTGTAAATGAATACCAGGATGTGTTTCCAGAAGACCTTCCTGGGGGGCCAATCGAACGGGAGGTGGATTTTAACATCGAGTTAGTACCTGGAACTGCTCCCATATCTATCCCACCGTATCGGATGGCACCAATCGAATTGAAGGAGCTAAAGGAACAGTTGCAGGAACTCTTGGACAAAGGGTTCATCCGACCAAGTATATCACATTGGGGAGCACCTGTTCTCTTTGTGAAAAAGAAAGATGGGTCCATGCGAATGTGCATTGACTATCGGAGGCTAAACAAGGCGACGGTTAAGAATCGTTATCCACTTCCTCGAATTGATGACTTGTTTACCAACTACAAGGAGCAACGGTCTTTTCAAAAATTGATTTGAGGTCGGGATATCACCAGTTGAAGGTGGGAGAGAAAACAGTACCGTTGACTGCTTTCCGAACACGGTATGGACATTATGAATTTTTGGTGATGCCTTTTGGACTTACTAATGCACCGGCAGTGTTCATGGCTCTTATGAACAAAGTTTTCCATGAATATCTTGACAAATTTGTCATAGTATTCATTGATGACATTCTAGTGTATTCGAAGAGTGAGGAAGAGCATGCTGAACACTTGAGATTGGTATTGCAAACTTTGAGAGAAAAAGAGTTGTATGCAAAATTCTCGAAGTGTGCATTCTGGCTGGAAGAGGTACTATTTTTGGGGCACGTGGTGTCCCGGAGGGGAGTAGAGGTGGATCCTAAGAAGATTGAAGCTATTGTGAATTGGACTCCACCTAAGGATGTGTCGGGAGTACGAAGTTTTCTGGGGTTAGCTGGGTACTACCGTCGATTTGTGGAAGGGTTTTCTAAAATAGCCTCACCTTTGACTAAATTATTGAGGAAGGAAACCCCATACATATGGACGGAAGAGTGCCAAGAGAGTTTTGAAGAATTGAAGCGGAAGTTGACATCAGCCTCAGTTCTGGCATTACCGGTGGACGGAGGTGAATATGTGGTATACAGTGACGCCTCATATCTTGGTTTGGGTTGTGTCTTGATGCAGAACGGAAAGGTGATTGCATATGCTTCCCGACAATTGAGGCCACATGAGTGCAACTACCCAACTCATGATCTAGAGTTGGCAGCTATCGTGTTTGCCTTAAAATTATGGAGGCATTACCTTTATGGTGAAACGTTCAAAATTATGACCGACCACAAGAGTTTGAAGTATTTAATGGATCAGAAGGAGTTGAATAACCGACAAAGAAGATGGTTGGAGTTATTGAAGGACTACGACTGCACAATTGATTACCATCCTGGTAAGGCAAATGTGGTCGCCGATGCACTCAGTCGAAAGGGAAGGTTGTCAGAATTAGTGGAAATGAGAGCTTTGGGTGTGGAGTTTCAGGTGGAGGACATCACCACCTTAATTGCACACTTAAGCATCCGACCACTACTCCATGATCAAATTAGAGAAAGTCAACAAGTAGATCCTGAGTGTATCGAGAAGTTGAAGCAAGTTGAAGTGGGGGAAGAAAGTGAATTCATGGTGGAAGAAGGCATACTAAAAAGGCATGGTCGTATGTGGGTTCCAGAGTCGGGTGATTTTAGACGAAGAATTCTGGAGGAAGCCCATTCATCCATGTATGCCATGCACCCGGGGGTCACAAAGATGTATAACACGATTAAAACACATTTTGGTGGCCAGGAATGAAGCGAGAGGTGGCTGAGCATGTTCAAGCTTGTCTAGTTTGTCAAAAGACTAAGGCGGAGCATCGTGCACCGGCCGGACTCTTGCAGCCGCTGCCAATTCCAGAGTGGAAATTTGAGAGGATCACGATGGATTTTGTGACCGGATTTCCTTCTACCCGGGAAGGAAAAGATGCCATTTGGGTAATTGTTGATCGAATGACTAAAGTGGCACATTTTATCCCCATTCGATTCAAGCCAAGTATGGAAGAGTTAGCGAGGTTGTACATAACTCACATTGTACGACTTCATGGTGTTCCTCTATCCATTGTCTCAGATCGAGATCCCAGTTTCACATCACACTTCTGGGAGAGCTTGCAGGAGGCGATGGGTACGAGACTTAATTTCTCCACGGCTTATCACCCTCAGACGGACGGGCAGTCTGAGCGGACAATACTTATTTTGGAGGAATTATTACGAACCTGTGCAGTGGAAACAGGTGGACCTTGGACGGATTTACTACCCTTGGTGGAGTTTGCCTATAACAACTCCTACCATAGCAGTTTGCAGGCTGCACCATTTGAAGCTTTGTATGGAAGGAAGTGTCGTACCCCGCTATGTTGGGATGTTGAGGGTACTCGGGTTCTTACTGGACCACAAATGGTCCAGGATACGGAGGAGAAGGTGAAGGTGATCAAAGAGAGATTGCGAGTAGCTCAAGATCGCCAGAAGTTATATGCCGATAGGAAGGCTCGAGAAGTTAGCTATGATGTGGGAGATAAGGTGTTCTTAAAGGTATCCCCATGGAAGGGATTGATGAGGTTTGGAAGGAAGGGTAAGCTAGCGCCTCGTTACATTGGTCCTTACGATGTTATCTCCAAAGTAGGACCTGTGGCATATGAGCTTGCATTACCCCGTGAGTTGGAGAAAATTCACAACGTATTCCACGTGAGTATGTTGAAAAAGTATCATATCGATCCATCTCATGTGATGCAACCCGAAAGGGTGGAGTTGGAGCCAGATTTGACCTATGAAGAAAAACCGGTGAGCATTGTGGATCATCAGGTACGTGTGTTAAGAAGCAAGCAAATCCCAATGCTCAAGGTTATATGGCGTAATCAGGAGGAGGAGGCTGCAACCTGGGAAACCGAGGAGAGTATGGAGAAGAAGTACCCCGAGCTAGTTGAGGCTTATGCTCAACGTATGTCGACCTAGTACCTCATGTGTTAGATCGATATGAGCAGGGTACATTGTAATATATAACCTCTACTATAGAGTGAGTGAATAAGTATGAAATAAAATAATAAAAAAAAAATTCCCAAGCCATTAGGTACTTAATGGCCAAGGGAAATTATCATGTCGTCGTGCTGAGTTAATTGATGTTTTGGACGAGCCGATTTCGGGGACGAAATCTAATTAAGAGGGGGAGAATTGTAACATCCCGAACCTCGGATAAATTCTTTTTCCAAGTGGCGGACGCATATAGTACGATTCGAGGCTGGAAAAAAAAAAGATTTAGTTATTATCCTATACGAGAAAGGATCCGTGAAACCACTCAGAAACTCATAAACCACTAAAAACCGAAGCAAAAATAAATTGCCAGGTTGCTAGACCTTGTACCAGCTAAGAAAGCAGCTAGCAACTTAACCAGTTGCACTACAGAATAGCTTGTGATATATTAGCGCCGCTTCATTTAAAACTTGATGACGTAGGCATTGCAGCAGCAGCTAGCTTGTTTATGGAGCCGGCTTTGGAACTTGAGTTTCTTCCTTTCAAAGCTACTGCTCCTTAGAAGGCCGACCCAGGCCTTTACTCCATCAGTTGGACAGTAAATGAAGAAGTAGAAGAGTGGACAAAGAGCTCTATATCAAGGGGAAGCTAGCTCTCCATTGCTACCTCCGTACAAACACCAAGAAGAGAAAAGAAAGGAAGGAAAGGATAGTTGACAAACGCCTATCATCACCTCTGTATGCCCAGCAAAAGTTTAGAACCCACACAAATCCCATTACGAAGCCAAAATCGTCAAACCAACTAAACGGAAATTCTTCGCCGAAACTTTTGCCGTAACCCTTTTCGTCAGCCAAACCAGCACCATTAAAGGTAGTATCAGCTACGAAGCTTGATATCGTTGCGAAGAGCAAGTCTCCACAAGCATCACAGAGTTTACGGAATTGAATTCCAAGCTCAGACGAGGGAGAAACAAGGCCGGGAAGTTGGTACACGAGGTAGGAAAATTTCCAGTTTTCTGCAGATTTTGGGACATGCAGAAAATTAACAATTAATCCGTAATTTCGTACTAACGATGATCAGCTCGCAGTTTCTTCGTTTGACGTCCAAACGACGAACCGTTCTCGCCTACAGGACCGTAGAAACAAGGAGAATTTTTAGGAGCCAATCTCTGGAATTTTAGAACTTAATTCCCGACTTGGAATCGGCTAAATTAAGGTGTGTGGGGATTAAGAGGACCTTAATTATTGCATCGATTATTTATGCTTGATTTGCATATTTGGATGGATGGATTACTGTGGGTGATGACTTATTTGTTGATATGATGATTTGGTGATTATTCTTGATTGTTATGGATTTTACGGTGTAAATATCGATATTTGACAAGTTTCCCCGTAAAAATGAATAGTTGGGTTTATTGAGTCTAAAACTGATCTAAGAGATTTTTGTTTGTCTAAAAGGCGGTTGGGGCAGGTTGAGCAAAATATTTCACTTGAAAATGGTTTTCGGATTAAAAACTGCATAACGGTGAATTTTACGAAAAGCTCGGTAAAAACGTGTTTTATTTATCTTTAAGATTTGGATCACTTCAAAATGGTCAGTATGGATTATTAAATGGTTTTTGGTCTGAAAAGGGTAAATTAGACAGTTGGTGGAGTTTTTATCTTTAAAACGGTAAAAATGAGCTTAATACGAGATTTGCGATAAATACCGAGTGTAATATTATTTTCACGGTTTTGAGCCGTTGAAAAATATAAAAACTGGACAGACCTGTTTTATGATGATAAATGGAGGTTCTTTTATTTTTGGGAGATTTTTGGATTTACCGTTTTGTTGGAATTTAATTTATCGTAAAATAATGGTTAATACGAGATTTTTGATATTTTATTTTCTAAATTGATTTTTATGAACAGAACTAGATTAAATGGATTTTTGTGTCAATAAATTCAGTTACATGAATTTTGTGAGGATTTTAATGAAGGAAAGTGAATTTTGAGTTAAGGATATTTTTAACCGCAATCGGGTTATTTATAATTATTTGCGTTGGCGCTATTTCGTGAAATTGTTGATAAATTTTGGATGAGGAATGGTGACATTGTACTGCTGAGTAGCTTTACTGGAGAATGAAATGATTTATGTGATTCGGTATTGGATGATGAAATAGTTGATTTTTTTTTTGAAACGTCGAGTTGATAATCGACGGGAAATATATATATGGATTGGTCAATCCGTGAGACTACATTGATTCCGGATTGATTGTGATGGATGAGAAAAATGGAAATAGTTTGATTCGTGATCATATTAATTCACGTAGACATAGAAAGGGCCTGCACTTACCCTCACCCCTTGAGAGTGGGTAGATTTAGCTCGCTTATGCGATTGAGTGTTGTGGTTGCATGAGCACCACGGATGAGTGTTGTGGTTAAAAACCACGGATTGAGTGTTGTGGTTGCATGAGCACCACGGATGATGATTTGCTCGAGCGAGGGTGAGTGTATGGTGACCTTGGCGCCATTAATAATTAACCAGAATTTTCATATCATGCATTGATTATGTGTTCGTGAAATTAAGTGATTATCTTATTGGATAAATTGATTTGGTGATGATTAGTTGGTGGATTCGATAATTTGATTGGTAATTTATATACGATGATTTAAGATGGCATCTAGAGTAATAATTTATGATTGATTATGATTGTTTGATTAGCTGATTGCGATCCCAAAATTAGGTCGTGGGAAAGATCCACACACACAGCTTAGTTGCTGACCCACGTCTGTTTTCAGGCTCGCAGGTGCAACTAGGATCGGACTACTGAGGCTGCCCTATCCTTCTGTACTACCATCATGAGGTAGTTTGGAACACTGTTCTGTCATGGTCACCTAGGACTTTTGCTTTGAGTGTTTGAATAATAAACCCACATTTTGTAAAAATTCAATAAGTGGGTTGGGATTCGAATAATGAGTTTGTATGATAACGGTTTATGTTTGTGTTTAATTATCGGATATGATGTTTGAGATGATTGAGTTCTACCAGTAACACCGATGATTTGGCTGCGCGGTTGAACCACGAGTTCAACCATAGAGATTATGGGTGGGGTGTTACAATGATCTTGATTACTGTGATGTTGTTGCTGATTTTGAGACCGCACTCGCCATCACGAGTGCGGGTACTGATGATTTCCTTGAGCGTTGTCTTTTGCTAGGGGAACATGCATCACAGGATATGCAGCTGGTGGAGCAGCTTGCGGAGCTGGATGAGGCTGCGAGCGAGGGGCGAGAGATGCCATTCAAGCCGATTCCCATCTCGCCCCGGCTCGCTACATCATTGGAGGAGCCACCAGAGTTGGAGCTTAAACCCCTCCCATCTCATCTGGAGTATGCATTTCTCTGGGAGGGGAATAAGCTCCCGGTTATTATTAGCTCGGATCTGACCCCCGAGCAGAAGAGCAGGCTGGTGGCTCTGCTGCAGAAGTATGCCCGGGCCATGGCATGGAAGATCACCGACATCAGAGGCATTAGCCCATCCTTCTGCTCTCACAGAATCTTGATGGAGGATGAGGTTAAGCCAGTCAGGCAGCCGCAGAGGAGATTGTCTCCTAACTTGGAGGCGGTGGTCCGGGCAGAGATCGTGAAGCTCATGGATGCAGGGATCATCTTTGCTATATCTGATAGCAAGTGGGTCAGCCCCACTCAGGTGGTCCCGAAGAAAGGCGGGATGACTGTGGTCCCGAATGAGAAGAAGGAGTTGATCCCGATGCGGACCGTGACCGGCTGGAGAGTCTGCATCGATTACCGGCGCCTGAACGACGCCACCAGGAAATATCATTTTCCCCTACCTTTCATTGATCAGATGCTGGAGAGGTTGGCGGGCCATGAGTTCTATTGCTTCCTGGATGGCATGTCTGGTTACTTCCAGATTCCTATTGCACCGGAGGATCAGGCGAAGACCACATTCACTTGCCCCTTCGGCACTTTTGCTTACCGGAGGATTCCATTTGGGCTGTGTAACGCACCGGCGACCTTCCAGAGATGCATGCTGGCTATCTTCGACCGACTGGTTGGAGAGATCATGGAAGTCTTCATGGATGATTTCTCGGTATATGGAGACTCCTTCACTCACTGTCTCCATAACCTGGAACTCGTTCTGAAGAGGTGCGAGGAGACGAATCTGGCACTCAGCTGGGAGAAGTGCCATTTCATGGTTCGTGAGGGTATCGTGCTTGGGCACAAGATCTCCAAGAAGGGGATTGAGGTAGATCGCGCGAAGATTGAGACGATCAGTCAGCTACCTCCTCCCGTTTCTGTGAAGGGGATTCGCAGCTTTCTGGGTCATGCAGGCTTTTACCGGCGCTTCATCAAAGATTTCTCGAAGATTGCCCTGCCGTTGACCAAGCTGCTGGAGAAGGATGCGCCATTCCAGTTCACTCCCGAGTGCACAGCTGCATTTGAGACTCTGAAGGAGAAGCTTACCCATGCGCCTATCATGGTGACTCCTGACTGGTCTCTTCCTTTTGAGCTGATGTGCGATGCGAGTGACTATGCAGTCGGAGCAGTTCTGGGTCAGAGACGCGAGAAACACTTCCAGCCCATCTACTACGCGTCGAAGACCTTGAACGATGCACAGGAGAACTACACCACCACAGAGAAGGAGCTCCTCGCTGTGGTGTATGCATTTGACAAGTTCCGACCCTATCTGGTGCTCTCTCATGTGGTGGTTTACACTGACCACTCGGCGATTCGTTATCTGATGAGCAAGGCTGATGCAAAGCCTAGGCTCATCCGCTGGATCCTGCTGCTGCAGGAGTTTGATATCGAGATCCGGGACAAGAAGGGAGCCGAGAATGTTGCTGCAGATCATCTTTCACGGTTGGAAGCCCCTCCGGTGGACAACTTCGAGGAAGAGATCGACGACTCCTTCCCGGGTGAGCGATTGTTGGCGATGACCCTGGTGGACAGCGTGGCCCCTTGGTATTCTGACTTTGCCAATTATCTGGTGGGCAAGCAGTTACCCAAGGGGATGGCTACTCATGCGAAGCGCAAGTTCTTCTCCGATCTGAAGCACTACTTCTGGGAGGATCCTTACCTCTTCAGAATCGGAGCAGATGGCGTGATCCGGCGCTGTGTCATGGAGCATGAGATGGGAGACATCCTGTGTCAATGTCACGAAGGACCTACTGGCGGTCATCATGGAGGAACCCGCACGGCGCGGAAGGTGCTACAGTCGGGCTTCTATTGGCCCTCGCTCTTCAAGGATGCAGACACCTTCGCACGCCAGTGTGACCGCTGCCAAAGGTCAGGTAACATTTCTGCCCGGGATGAGATGCCCCAACATATATCTGTTATTTGTGAAACTTTTGATGTTTGGGGTATCGATTTCATGGGCCCATTCCCTCCATCTTTTGGCAATCTGTACATTTTGGTTGCAGTGGACTACGTCTCGAGGTGGGCAGAAGCTCAAGCCATGCCGACCAATGATGCAAGACGGGTCTGCTCATTTCTGAAGCAGCTGTTCTCCCGGTTTGGGACACCTCGCGCCATTATTAGTGATAGAGGAACCCATTTTCAGGGGCAATTCACTAAACTCCTCTCTCGCTATGGCGTTAAGCATCAGGTGTCGGTGGCCTATCATCCCCAGTCAAATGGGCAGGCCGAGCTGACGAACTGGGAGTTAAAACGTATAATTGAAAAGACGGTGGATCAGTCCCGCAAGGATTGGTCCACCAAGCTCGATGATGCTCTCTGGGCGTATAGGACTGCCTATAAGAACCCGATTGGCACTTCTCCCTATAGGCTTGTCTATGGGAAGGCGTGCCATTTGCCGGTAGAGCTAGAGCACAAGGCCTTCTGGGCCATTAAGCTGCTAAACATGGATTTGAGTGTTGCAGGTACAGAACGTAAGTTGCAGCTGCTGGAGTTGGAGGAGTGGCGTTACCACGCCTACGAGAACACCCTGCTCTATAAAGAGCGCACCAAGCGTCTCCACGACGCTAGGTTGCGGGGCCCGAAGGAGTTTCAGGTAGGTGATCGTGTTCTGCTCTTTAATGCACGCCTGAAACTCTTTCCGGGCAAGCTCCGTTCTAGGTGGTCGGGTCCCTTCACGGCGACCCACGTTTTCCCGCATGGTGCGGTGGAGATCAGCAATGCTCAAACCGAGCCATTCAAGGTGAATGGCCACCTCCTAAAGTTGTACTTGGGAGGTGCTGTCGAGCGCGCAGAGCTGCTGATCAAGCTCGAGGACCCTTAGTTCCTCTACTGGCATCCAGCTAAAAGACGGTAAAGAAGCGCTTGTGGGGAGGCAACCCCACCGAGGTTTGCATTTTCTTACTCTTTTTCCTTTGATTTTGTGTGTTTTTTAGTCTTGAGACGTTGATCCAGAGTCAAGTGTCGTTTTTGAGTAAAAACAGGTTGATTTCGGGACTCCAGCAAGTCGCACGGCCAGGACCCCAACTTGCAAGGCCGTGCGGATATCCCCCTTGGCCGTGCAAGCTCTCGGTGAAAGGCGCACGGCCAAAAGTGCAATTTGCACGGCCGTGCGCTCAGCCTGGCCTGGCCGTGCGTCTGGCACGGGCATCACATTGCCTCGCACGGTCGTGCGGGTATCCCCCCTTGGCCGTGCGAGCTCTCGGTAATAATGGCACGGCCAAAATTGTCATGTGCACGGCCATGCGACATCCTCGGCCAGGCCGTATCGGCCTGCACGGGCAGAAGCAAGCCGTGCACGGCCGTGCGCGCCTGCCCGTGCGGCCGAGGCACGGCCTATTTATATGGCCTGCATGGCCATTCTGGTCAGAAAACCAAAACCAACTCGCCGGAATCCTCTGCCCTCGCCGGAAAACCGCGCAAAACCCACCCTTTTTCGATTTTTTTCGGCCACTTTGGGTAATGTTTTCACCAAACTAACAACAAACCCATTCTTTCTACACCCAAAGCGGCCTATCCCTCGATTTTGAGCGAGTTTGGGCGACATTTTAGTCGCCGGAGGCGATTTCCGGCGAGACTCTGGCGAGACTCCGACGAGCATTTCCGGCCAGTTTTTCGGCGTTTCGTCGATTCCGTTGTCTTCCCCTCATCATCCCCTACACCTCTACTTGAGTCTCCAGGTTTGATTTTGTCCTTAACTATGTTAATTGTGGAGAATTGAGTGTGTAGGGTGTATGTTAGAGAACCCTATTGAATCATTTGATTTTTGTGAAATTGATTGAGGGGAATGCATGGGATGTGAATGAATTGTGTTGGGCAAAGTCCTCTTTGCTTGTTTGAGCCCTTGTGTGCAAGAATTTGGCCAATTTCATGCTTAACTTATTAGTGCACACAAGGTGTTCGATGAAATGCCTGTTTCCCATGCCATGTTGTGGCCTCCGGTTGGGGCCCTTAATAATGTAGTTTGAGGGTGTATTTGCTATGGATGTGAACCTTGAGTTGCCTATTTTCTTGTGAATGTGCACCCCCCACCCAGATTATGCTTGATTTATCGAGTTTTTGACCCCCGAACTATGGATGAAACCATGGTTAGGCTGCTTTCTGTTCTTAAGTGTGGGGGTGGGCTTGACCTTTTCTTTGGCTCTTTTGGTTCCACTTTGGGTTGTTGTTTTGCAGGGCAATGGCGCAACCTAATCTCCAGCACCCGTTCATCCGGGATCTCAGGAGGGGCCCCACCGCAGAGCGCTTCAGGAAGGTCGCGGAAACCCCGTTTGGCGCCCACCATTGCTGGTCCAAACGGGAGTTTCGGCAATTACACTGCTACGACCAACTCTCCGCCGCCGTAGCCAACACCGCATGGCGCCGTCTGCTCAAATTGTGCGAGAAGGTCTACTACGAGCCCGTGTGGGAGTTCTACACGACCTTCAAGCACAATTCCACGACCAGTTGCCAGGACG